TATTTGTAATGCTTAAGCCTGCAGATATGTAATGTGACCACTGTTTTGTGTTGACAGTATTGCTTTATACAGTTCTTGTATTTGGAAGGAACCAATTCTTCTAAGTAAACATGGTGTATGTTGTTCTTATGGGACTATTTCAGTGGTGTAAATAATGAATATTTTTTCTTAAAAAAAAAAGAAGTAACCTATGAACAACAGGAATTTATTGCCCATGGTTGTGGGGGCTAGGAAGGCCAAAATCAAGGTGCTGATTCTGTACTTGGTAAGGGCCCACTCCCCATAGATGGCACCTCCTATGTGCTTCCACATGGTGGAAGTGGAAAAAATAATCGAAGAAACTTTCTGGAGCCTCTGTTATAAAGGAACTAATGCCATTCATGAGGGCTCTACTCTTGTGGCCTAATCACTTTCCAGAGGCCCCATCTCCTTCTCCCTCCCTCTCTCCCTAACATTGTCAAAACTTTATTAATTTATGAATATTTTTATGCCATAGAGTGTATACGAGAGTGGGAGAGAGAGAGAGAGAGAGAGAGAGAGAGAGAGAGAGCACCTCAATAGGCCCTGATCATGCCACAATCCTTTTCGTACAATTCTCTGTCCCCTCAAGATCCTGGGCATGCGTGTATGTTGGCTGGCATGTTGCCGCAGGGACTGGGATTCAATCCTCAGTTGACCAAATGGGTTCCAGCCTCCTCTGCACAGCGCTTATCTGCTGTGCTTTGGAGTTAGGCAAAACTTGAAAAAATTTAATAATCATTTTTCTTTCATTTGTGAAGGATCCTCTAGGAATCAATAACTTTTGAGTAAAGGAACATTTACCTGAAGTTCAATTATTTCTTTAATTTCCCTCTGGTTTATCTTTATCTGGTTAAATTAAAACAAAATCAGATTTTTTTTTCCCTTAAAAATATCATTTATAGGATTATGGTACCTTTATAAAGTGATTTCTATCCATGCCGGTTTCTCTGACTAGCTATGTTGCTGGTGTCTGTGTGTGTGTACATATATAACAAATGTCTGTCTCTGTTATATGAAGGGAAGTCTGTGATCATGTTTGCCATCTGTTAATGCTAACTGTTTCTGGGTTGAGAGTTTATTACTCTCTTCTTTTAAATCTTGTAATTGACATTTTAAATGCTAAACACATGCTGTTTTCAGAAAACAGTCTTAATAAAGCAAAACTGCATAAGCAAAACTCAAGTCACCCAACAGAGCCAAAGAGCCAACCAAAGAGGGGTAGGACTAAGGTGAGGCTGCTGAGATGCTTAGGGTGCAAAATTTAAGGAGGTGTTCCTCCTCTGGGTCATGTAACTGTACTCTAGACTCCTTAGTCCTCCTGGATAGCCCTGCAAATGACACAGGAGGACTGCAGTTCAATGCAGATAAGAGCAGCATATTTGGGATTCTTGGTAGATGAGTAACCATATTCTTTCTGTAGCATATATGAACCTTCAATATTTTTTAAAAACTGCAAAAGAAATCAAAGCCTTTACAGTTGAGAAGTTAATTTATGAGGGATTCTGAAACTCATCAATGCCTACTTCTCCTGTTTCTCTCCTCTCCCTCACCTCGACACATGGGTATGTCACAGGCTTTGGCAGGGGAAGAGCCCTGAAAGGGATTTGCCGTCACCATTTGCAGATTAGCTCACTTGTCCTCCAATGAGAACTTTCTTTCTTTTTTTTTTTTTTAAGAATTATTTAATTTTATTCACTCATTCATTTATTCATTCATTTATTTTTTTAATCTGACCAGAGAAAGACAGATACACAGAGAGGAGGAAAATGAGAAATCAAGCTACCAGGTCCGAGACTGGAACCATGGTTGGCCATGTGGGAGTGTCCAGCGCCATAACCACCATAGCACCTGCTGGCCCCAGAGAGAACTTTGATTGCTTGAGCGAAAGCAGCACACACCACCCCCCTGCATCTTTCTAGGACATTCTTCTGCCTTAGTATCTCCTTCGCAGTTATCACATCCCAAATCATCTGTACTTTACATATGGCAGTTGTCCTTCCTACCTTGTGAGTTCATTGCTCGTCTTGCCTTGTTAGAATGATCTCCACTTGCCACATGAAGCATGACAGCACACAGTAGATTTCAGTTAGTATTTGCCCAATGGAAAAATGAATGAGTTCACTGAATGACTGTAGATCTGACATTACTCTGGATAACATAAACAAAATGCAGAATCTCTGCTCCCTGCCGATGGCGCCCACAGGCCAGACTCCCTCCCACCTCTGCTCCCAACTTCACTTGCCTTCACACGATCATTCTCTCACCAACATGGGACTTTTCTTTTACTCATTTTTCCTTTTCTTATATTCACTTTCTCTTTTTCCTTCCTTCAACTCATGCCGAGTTATCATAAGAAAATACTTTTTTCTTCCCCTAAAATATCACTCTAAAAAATGGGCATAAAAGGTCGTATGATAATTGCACATTAAGAGAAAGTCAGTTTTGAAGAGAAAACAGTAAAAATAATAGTATTAATTATGAATATCTATTAAGTACTTGCTATATATACCTGATTCTGCCAAACAATTCTATGTGTGGCCCAATTTAATCAATACAGATAAGGAAATCATGGCAGCAAGACGGAACTTGTCAGCTCCCAGAGCTGCTAACTCTCCTGAACCCGTCAGCCTGATTCCAGTGCCTAGGCAGAGCCTGGGAGACCAGAGGTAACGGGCTGTGCTATTCATTTTCAGTGTCGTTGTCTGTGGGGTGTTCCCTTCATCCCCTCCCATAGTATTCCAATCTTCCTATTCCCCCAGCACTCTGCTCAGAAACTATTTCAGCTCTTATCACATAAAATGCTAAGTATGTGTCTGGAAGGTTCAGCCGGGTGTGTTTTCACTCATTACCAGTGTTATGAAGTATTTGCTCGCCTTTTTCATTGCAGTTGGGGTTGTAATAGCAGCCAGAGCTTTGGATTTACCTAGACCAGGAATCAAAACCTGGCCTCTCCTACTCACTGGCCTTCTGAACCCTAGTCTACATATGCAGTCTGCAAATCATGACACGGTGCTACAGTGCAGTGAGGACAACCTAAGGCAGATCTGGAGGAGTGTCCCATACAGCACCCGTGCTCAGTGGGCACTCTTCTCATCTCTCCCCTGCCCCTGGACTCTGACTCTCCCACTGCAGCTTCTCTGGCCTTCCAACCAGCTAATGTGTTCGTAGCTAATGGTAGGGATGTTATTACCACTCAACAAATTATCTCAAATTTAGCAGCTTAAAACAACAAACATTTATTCTTTCAAATTTTCTGTGGGTCAAAAAGTTTAGCTAGGTGACTCTGGGTCTCTTTTGTTAGATTCCAATCAAGATGTTGGCTAGAACTGTAGTCATCTCAAGGCTCAAGGCAGGAAGAATCGTTCAAGTTCACTGATGTGGTTGTTGGTGTTTCAGGAGATCTGCTTCTAAGCTTATTCCTGCAGGTCTCTCACAGGGCTGTCTCAGGACATGGTGGTTGGTGTCTACCAGCGTGAGCAATTAAAATGATAGTGTAAGAGTATCCATAATGGAAGCCATAGTCTTATAATCTAATCTCGGGAGTGACATCTCATGACTTTTTATTTTTTACTTTATTTTATTCACTAGAAGCAAGCTAGTAAGTCCAGCCGGCTCTCAAGGAAGACTGATACTAGAACATGAATACCCAGAGGTGGAGATTAATAGGAACATATTAGAATTTGCCTATATGACCTGGCTCAAATAGTCTTACAGAGCTGGCCTTGGGACTGTGATTCATCTATTCTTATTTCATTACTTTTTAAGAGAAAAGTCAGTCCTGCCTCTATGCAAGGGAGTTACACACATTCGTAACAAACATTTTTAAGCTGTTTAACAAGTTATACCAGTAAGAGTTCCAACACAATCCATAAAATGGCACTAATGATGATAATGACTTTTTCTTTTGGCATAGTTTTATATTATTAGACCATCTGTACTTTTTCATCCTCATTCCTGCACAGTTAAAGTTTCTCCGATTTGGTTTCTTTCTCTCTTTTTTTAAAAAATGGCCCAAGGACACGTGTTTAAAAGAAAGAGAAAGAGACAGAGAGAGTGCATGTCAATCTTCCAGTGGGGCATGGCCATGCTGCAATCCTATTTCCTCCATTTCTTCATCCTGTCAGGGTTTTAGGCAAACATGCATACTTGCTTGATGTGTTTTTCAAGTTGCTAGAGCCAAGACTCCAACCATGGTCAGTCATGTGGGATTTACCTCCCTATGCACACTGCTTAACCTCTGCCAGCTCTGGTTTTGTTTTTGTGTTTCTAAGTGCACAGGTGGTTGTGGGAGAGAGGGAGGAAGAGAGAGAGAAAGGAGAGGGAAAGTAGGGAAGCAAGAGACCATTCCCCAAGGGGAGTGGTCACTCCACAATCCCTACTCTTCCATTTCTCCCTCCTTTCGGGATTTTGGGAATGCATGCACATACACCTGCCATTGTTTTCAAGCTGCCAGGTCTGAGACTTGAACCACTTGTGAGATTCAGCCATCTTAACCACATCACTGACTGGCCCCCTGGTTTGTTTCTTTAAAAGAGCATTTCTGCACAGGAGGAGGTGGTCTGCAAACTCTTTGGTGTTCTGTTTTTATCCCTTTGTGTCACAGATTCAGTGGGGATTGAGGAATAGGACCCTAATAGTATTCAGGATGCTTGGCTACTTTTCCCTTAGACCTGTCTAGACATGCAGTGCATGGAGGCTGAGCAGCAAAGTGGTGAGGTAGAAGAAACAGGATAAGAAAACAGAGAAAGAGAGAAAGAAAAAGAGAAAAAGAAAAAGCAAACACAAAACTGATTCATTTATTAATTGTAAAAAAAAAAAAAATGAAAACCATGTGGCGCGTGCCATGTGGAAGCACTAGATCTCCGCTCTCATGGTGGACTCAGTCTTCTTCTGGCCTGTCCGTTTTGTCTCTTCAGGGTGACTTCTCAGCAGAACATCTTCGTTGCCCTTATCCCTGAAAGCACTAGATCTCAGCCCTCGTGACTTCTGTGGCTGTGTCCTTGGTATATTTTTCACTTCCTTCTCTTTGGTGTATATACACACATACACACACCAGCTTCCTTCCTCAGAGAGTGTCAGTGATCAGGTAAATAGTCAGGGGGAATAAAAATAACACCTCGACCCACTCTTGGAAGGCAACTTGTTTATTATTCCCAACAAAGTCACAGCGTGCTCCAAACCCTGCCTGTGGAGGGTCTTGAATCCTTTTTCCGCTTTCTTCTGCTGGTACATTTAACTGTGGCACTCCCTGGTTGCAATAGTCTTCCAAAAGGAGATGGAATGGGTCAAATTTACTTTCTCTATCTATTCAGGTTTAAAATAAAGATTTTATCAATACTAAAGAATGTGTGATATAAGTGGTAAAATATATACATATGAAATATATATAATAAATATTAAAATTCTGCATTAAAAATAGATACATAGACCAATGGAACACAATGAAGAATCCAGAGGGACCAGCAAGTGGCATAATGGCTATGTCACTGGACTCCCACATGGTCAACTGTGGTTCGAGTCCCAGCCCTAGAGCCTTGAAAACCACACCAGGCACATGTGCATGCATGTCCAAAATCCTGACAGGAGAATGGAGGAGAAGGGGTTGCAGCATGGCCATCTCCCTGGAGGGGAGGGGTGATTTCTTGCTTTCTGTCTGTCTCTCTGGAGAGAGCACACATCTTATAGTGAAAATCTCTCTAAAAAACTAATAAAAAGAATAGAGAATCCAGAAATAAACCCCAAATCATAGAGTCAACTGATCTTTGATAGAGGGCATAAATAAGTCAATGCAGTGGAGAAAAAAAGTCTTTTTGGCAAATGGTGTTGGGAGAACTGGATATTCATCTCCAGAAAAATGAAACTGGACTCCTATCTTTCACCATTAGCTAGAATTAGCTCAAAATGGATCAGAGACTTAAAGTCTCTAACTATAAAATTACTGGTAGAAAACTGGGGAAACTTTTGATGCCACCGAAGTAGGCAAAGCTTTCTTAAATAATACCCCTAAAGCACAAGTAATGTACCTAAATAGAAAAGTGGGATTACAAAACGCTAAAAAGCTTCTTCACAGCAAAGGAAACTATAACTAAAGTGAAAAGAAACTATAACTAAAGTGAAACTCTTGAAATGGGAGAAAATACTTGCAAATTATTCTTAATTTTTTTTCTTTAGTTTGAGAGGTTTTTGCTATAGGGCACATGCACTCGCCAGAAAGACAGAGAGAAACATAGAGATAGAAAGCAAAAAATCACGCCACAGGGGGGATGGCCATGCCACCATCCCTTCTCCTCCATTCTTCTCTCAGGATCTTGGGCATGCACGCACACGCACCCAGCGTCGGGACTTGAACCGTGGTCGACTACATGGCAGTCCAGCAACATAGCCATTATGCTAACTGCTGGTCCCCAAATTATTCTTCAGATAAGGGAGTAATACCAGGAATATATAGGGAATTCAAGTGGATCATCCATAAAAAAAGAAATAATCCTATTTAAAAAAGGACAAATGAACAGACAACTCTCCAAGGAAGACTTACAAATGGCCAAGAACCATATGAAAAAATTGTTCTAAGTCTCCCATTATAAGGAAATGCAAATTAAAGCAACAATGAGATATCATTTAACCCCAGTTAGAATGGCTAGGATAAAAAAATAAAGAACAACAAATGTTGGCAAGGCTGTGGTGAAAAGGGAACTCTCTTACACTGTTGAGGAGAATGTAAATTAGTCCAACCACCAGGGGAAACAATGTGGAGACTTCTCAAAAACCTACAAATAGAACTTCCATATGACCCAGCGATCCCACTTCTTGGTATTTACGCAGAGGATAAGAAAACACTAAACCAGAAAGACATTCGCACATCGATGTTTATTACAGCATTATTCACACTTGCTATCACACAAAACCAACCTAAGTACCCAAAAACTGATGAATGGATTCAAAAACTGTGGCATATATATAGTATGGAATATCACACAGCTAAAAGAAACAAAGATATCCTAGCAGTTCTACTCAAAAGGGATGAACATGGAAGGAAGACAATGTTGAGTGAAGCGAGTCAGCCTTTGAAAGATACACTGAATATTTCCATTCAATTTGTACTGAGTGTCTGCAGTTTATAGCTGAGGTTGAGAGTTCTGAAGATGTGATTGTGAAGAAGATATGTGTGGATGCTAGTGATAATAAAGGGAGAAAGTGTTTGGTAGAGAGTGGGTGGTGGAGGATGGGTGTGAGAAAAAAGAAAAAATATTTAGGATAATCATGAAAGTTCAAGTGCAAATAATTTTTGAAGACTATAAATGATAAACATGGTTCCAAGAGGGAAAAAAAATGCCAAATCAAAACCTTTTAAAGAATTATTTATTTAATTTTATTTATCATTATTATTATTTAAAAATTTGCTACAGGGCACGAGGGAGAGAGAGAGAGAGAGAGAGAGAGAGAGAGAGGAGAGAGAGAGAGAGACAGAGAAAGAGAACAAACTTCCAGGTCCAGGATTCAAACTGTGGTTGGCCATGTGGGAGTCCAGCACCTTAACCACCACACCACCTTCTAACCCCAAAACCATTTTTTTTGTTTTTTATTATTATTATTTTTTTTTTGGAGAGATTTTCGCTATAGGGCGTGTACGCTCGCCAGATAGACAGAGAGAGACATAGAGACAGAAAGCAAGAAATCACCCCCCAGAGGGGATGGTCACGCCGCAATCCCTTCTCCTCCATTCTCCTCTCAGGATCTTGGGCACGCACGCACATGCGCCCGGCGTGAGTTTTAAGCCACCGGGTCCAGGACGTGAACCACGGTCGACTACGTGGGAGTCCAGCGACATAGCCATTATGCTAATTGCTGGTTCCCCCCAAAACCATTTTTAAAAATATATTGTTTGGGGGACCAGCAGTTAGCGTAATGGCCATGTCACTGGACTCCCATGTAGTCAACTGCGATTCAAGTCCCGGACCCAGTGGCTTAAAACTCACGCCAGGGAAGTGTGTGTGCGTGCCCAAGATCCCGAGGAGAGAATGGAGGAGAAGGGATTGCGGCATGGTCATTCCCCCTGGGGGCTGATTTCTCACTTTCTGTCTCCCTGTCTGTCTAGCGAGCGCACATGCCCTATAGCAAAAACCTCTCCAAAAAAACCAAAAAAAAATGTTTGGAAATAGTTGACAATTGTGTGTATCTGCTAATTTATCTGTCCTCAAAAGAGCAGTTTGCCTAAAAGGACTGACTAGTATGCAAAATATTTACAAACTTCTATGAAATTGTAGTTTAAAATTAATTTGTATCTGTTAAGTTATTGTTATAAATATCATCTGTATTGTTGGTATATACAACTTTATACTTTGAAGCTTGTGTCTGCGAAACTGCAGTTAAATTTATTTTGCCAATGTTTTCTGAATAAATTGGATAATGTTTTTGTTGGGAAATTTTATTGTATAATATTAAAACATCTATTCTAAATAAATATTACCTGTTGGTAATTAAAAAGATAGCTCTTGCAATGGAGGTCTGACATTTAAAACCTTTTATTTTCTATGAATTATTGAGAGTCTATTTCATTAGTGACACTATTGGGCTGTTGATAATTGCCAACTATAGAATATTCTGAGGTAAAGAAATTTGGTGATGGGACCAGCAGTTAGCATAATGGCTATGTTGCTAGACTCCCACGTAGTCAACCGCGGTTTGCATCCCGGACCCGGTGGGTTAAACTCACGCTGGGCGCGTGTGCGTGTGTGCCCGAGATCCCAAGAGGAGAATGGAGGAGAAGGGATTGCGGCGTGGCCTGCCCCCCCGGGGGGCATGATTTCTCACTTTCTGTCTCTCTGTCTCTCTCTGTCTTTCTGGTGAGTGCACACACCCTATAGCAAAAACCTCTAAAAAAAAAATTGGTGATGACAATTACTTTGGGAAGTGGGAAAGACAAAGTGACAATGAAAAAAATATTGGGTCATCAGAAAAGTGAAGACATATTTTTTTTTCTGTTTTTCTATGCAAAAATGCATCATGACTTTTCCACTGACCCAATAGAAATATAATGGCTGTTAATTGTGAAAGAAATAACTTACAAAAATGAAAACTTGGTAGGATAATTTACTTATGGTGGACTTTTCACCGTTTACTTATGCTCAAAGATATTCTTGGCAGGACATTTGAGGAAGAAGAATCATAGTCCATTTAGAGTGGTCAGGGACATACTTCTAGCTGTCTGATCTGGTTGGAGGTGGGAAAATGAGGCAGAAAAGAGGTCACTCCTCTAAAGTCCAGTACTCTATGTTGATGAGCTGGGATTGAGACTTGTTCAATTACAAATTCGGTGGCTTTTATCAGTGACTATACTTTATATCCTAGAATAGAATTAGCTGAAGTTTTTATTTATAAATGTTAAGTTTCTTCTTTCTATGTAATTAAGACATTTAAAAATTTTAAATAAACCTGTCAGGTGAACTTTTCTTATATTCTATGTGTATGCAATTTGTACTTTTAATGTGAATTTCCCCAAATTTCTTTTTTTTTGAAGAACTATTTAACTTTATTATTTATTTACTTATTTATTTTACTTTGACGAGAGAGGGACAGAGTGAGAGAGATGGGGGGAGAGATAGAGAGAGAGAGAGAGAAAGTGAAAAAGCAAGCCGCCAGATCTGGGACTTGAACCATGGTCAGCCATGTGGGAATCCAGTGCCCTTGACCACCATGCCACCTGTTGGCCCCAACCTCAATTTATTGTTATTCAGCATGTCTGAGAGATATTAAAACTGTCTGGTAAGAGTTCTGATTGGCTTAGGACTGTCAAAGAGTAATGTCTTCGCAGATATTTGTTAGTTCAACTGTTTTCAAGTAACATAATCACGTTTTTGTTAGTTCAACTGTTTTCAAGTAACATAAATACATGTCTGAGATTTATTCTTAGCTCTGAGTATTAGATATATACCTACAAAATTGTATGCAACTTTTTTTTTGGGAAAAAAAATCCATTTCTGTTGTATTAAAATAATGATCTATTTAAGCCTTTCAGTAAATCTTTTTGGCAAAACAACACATTCAGGAACTGCAGGCATAATTTCCCTATTAAGCATTGCTGTGAGATTAGGTATCCTTGTGTTTGATTTTCGTAAAACAGGACATACCTGTAGTGCTGCCTTTTCCTAATTGATTCAGCTTGTCTCAATGATAGATGAATAATGAGATATTGATATGTCTACCCAAACTGTCCAATTTCTCTCTCTTTTAAAATAAAAAAGAAATGTATTTTACAAGTTCCTCACATATTAAGAAAACGTTGGAGTCGGCAGGTGGCTTAGTGGTTTAAGACACTGGTCTCCCACATGGCTGCACATTGTTTGAGTCCTAGGCCTGGTGGCTTGAAACTCACATCAGGCACGTGTGAGTGAGTGCCCGAACTTTTGAGAGGAGAATGGAAGATAAGGGACTGTGATATGGCCATCTGCCCTGGGGGATGATTTATTTTCTTTCCCTCTGTCTCTCCAGTGAGCACACTGGTCCTAGAGCAAAAACGTCTCTTAAAAAAAAAAAAGTTTACAACAAATTAGTGCTAATTTAAACATTTTTCCTTGTATTTTGTGGCAAGGTGGAAATGAAGATTTGTTAGTTGGTCCAGAATATAAAATAGTTTAAATGAATTAGAATTATGGAGATCTCTGGGTAGTCTCTGAAGTAAATATGATCAAATAAAACCTAAGTATTGTACTTTAAAAAATATATATACATATATATGTGTGTGTATATATATATATGTGTGTGTGTGTGTGTGTGTGTGTGTGTGTGTGTGTATGTGTGTGTGTATAGATATAGATAAAGATAATCTTGGGCCCACTATAGAGGTTTAGGTTGTAGGGCATTGGTGGGTTACACTGGACCCATAGAGAAATTTCTGGGGTTTGGATGTTGGGTCAGCCTGAGCACCCTGGGCATGCCCATAATCCTGGCTGACTGAAGGGCTGGGGTTTTGGCAAGGCCTGTTTTTCTCTCTCCCATTCTCTGTCATAAAATAAATAAATTAAAAAATATCAATCTGATCTTTATTGTTTTATTAATATAATTGGGGAGTGAAAAATAAGCTATTTGACATGTTTAAATAGTTAAAAAATTTTCATTGTTACCCTGGAAGTTGACAGTTTTCATTAAGGAAGATGTATCAGTAACATGTAACATTTTAAGCCTATTGGGCATCAAAGGTATGCCATTCTATGCAATTTTATGGTTGGTGAGTTAACTTATCTACTGAATACCATGGTTTCTTATGGGAAGTCAGCAACATTTCAAATTGGTGCTTTTATGTAATGTGTCAGTTTTCTCTGACTGCTTTAATTTACTATCTTTGTTTCTTAGCAGTTTGATTATTATGTTTATATTTATCCTGATTAGGGTTTATTGACCTTTATTTTTCTTCAGAGAGATTTTGTCATAGGATGTGTGTGCTTTCTGGAGAGACAGAGACAGGGGCTTCAAAAATCATGCCAGTCGTGTGTGTATGCATGCCCAAGATCCTGGGAGGAGAATGGAGAAGGGATTGAGATGTGTCCATCCCCTTTGGGGGTATTTCTCACTTTCCCTCTCACTGTCTCTCTCTCTCTCTGCCAAGTGCATGTACCCGAAGGCAAAAAACTCTAAAATCTTTTTATTTTTTTTATATAGTCATCTTAAAGCTATGATTAAACCCAAGTGAAACACAAGTGTAAGTAGTGTATTTTTTAAGTCCTAGAATGTTCATTTTGTTCTTTTGTAGTTTCTATTTTTCTGCTAAGATTTCCTGTCTGTTCACTAATTAAATGTTCCTTTACATAATTGAACATAGTTATAATAGCTGCTTTAAAACTCCTCATAGACGAATTTTTTTAAGAAGTATTTTATTTTGCTTCATTTATTTATTTAGGTTAATTTGACCAGAGAGAGACAGAGAGAGAGAGAGAGAGAAGGAAGGAAAGTGAGAAAGCAAGCCACCAGGTCTAGGACTATGAACCACAGTTGGCCATGAGGGAGTCCAGCATCCTAACCACCACACCACCTGCCAGTCACCCTGGTAGACTAATTCTAACTCTCAGAATCACTCTCCTTTGATTGCCTTTTCTTTTAAGTATAAGTTACATTTTCCCCTCTTCAACTGTCTAGAGATTTTAGATTCTATTTTAGATTTTTTGAATGACTGAATATCTGGATTCTGTTACATTCCTCCATAGAGTATTACATTTTGTTTGTTTGTTTGGTTTTAGTAGGCAGTTAGCTTAGATGAAATAAAACTCTAAATTCTTATTTTCTCTGTGGTGCACAGCAGCTGAAATTTATGTTGTTATTTTAATCTTAATTAGGTGACTTGGGCACTCAACTACATAAGTGTAATTTAGAGATCAGCAAAAGATTTAGACAGTTAACGTGCAGAATTTGGAACTTCTCAATCCGTTCGGAGTTTTCCTCTCTCTTACTTTCTGGATACTGTGGCCATCCCAAATCTAATCTATTGTTCAAGACACTGAGACTGCTCTAAGCATGGTTGTAGCTGACCTAAGCAGTGGAGACTAGTGTGTTTGCCTGTCAAAGTCATCAAGTTAGAAAACGTACCCTTTGTCCAAGAGCAGATGCCCTTTCTGTTTCTGCTTAATTTGGGGCATTTTCTAATACCTTCAAATAGTTGATTTTTATATTTTGTCCAGCATATTAGTTGTTATCTGTGAAGCTTTGTCTTATAGTAAACATTCAGTTGGTAATGAAAGAAAAAAAAATACTATTCTTTGCTTTTTATAAACTAGAATCATTCATTTATTTAGCTTCACAGATTCTAACAGTATGTAGACAATCCAAATTTTTACATTGTGATCATCTTAATCTTCTTCAGAGAAGTTACAATGAGCAGTTTTAGTTTCATCTGCTTTCCTATTTCTCAGTCTTCTGATACATGCACTAATGATGAGGCAAATATTGAACAACATTTTGCCTTGGTGGAAATGAGCCATACACAATCTGTTGTGTGGGGTGGTGTGAATTACTGTTGATTTTGCATTGAAATCTTGCATTTGCCACTACAGGCAGTGAGGTCACGGGTAAATCATATTTAACTTCAATATTCATTTTATTTCTACAAGCAATAAAAAGTGCTATTCTCAAAGGTCTGATGAGAGGATTGTGGGTTAATGTAGAGGAAAGAGCTTTATCTTCTGCAGAATACAATACATAGAGCATTGTTAGTACTCTTTGCTCAGTTACCAGCCAAAATAAAGCCTACCATGTGGGTACGTTATTAAGGTAAACAACATTTAAATGATAGGATTGGTAGAGGTGCAACTATCAGGTGTTTCAACAGGAAAGAGATTACATCAAGGGGCTCAGTCAAAACTGGCACCTGCTAGAGAAGTCGTCTTCCCCTAGACCTCTGCTTCAGCTTCATGGTCTCCTTCTTCAGTAAAATGGAAACATGTGAAGTGAAACCTCGGGCAAGCTTACAGGCTATAGCAATGTTTTACATTTGCATATTCCTTTATGGTTTAGAAAACCCGAGGTTCATGAACGTTAAGTAGCCTGTCCAATTCCATAAACCTCTTATGTGGTGTGGTCAGAGTTTGAACATGGATCTCTTTAGCCCTAGAAGCTATGAAAATGGTTCACAGAGAAAATGAAAGAATTGTACTATTCCAAGAAGAAACTGCTTCTGATGATCTTTTTAATTTCATTTATATTGAGTCAAACTCACGTGGACATGGAGAAAGAAACAAGAAATTATATCATGAAGAAAACCCTAATATGCTTTTGGAGAAAAGAATCACTGGTTCTCTGTTCTACAGGGGACAAGGTATTCGTTTCATGTTTTTTATTTTTTCTCTTACCAGATAGTTCCAAACTCTTGGCAGAGCCTTGGTGACAAGGAAAGTCAAGAATTCTGCCACCTATTGCCCCAAATGTCAATTCAACAAAAATCTGCTGATCATTTAGTGTGCATATGACACTGTGGTAGTTTCCCAGATATATAAGCAAGTGAGATAGTACATGCTGGCCATGAAGTCATAATCTCTTTGGTGTTAGAGTGATGCAAAAATAATGAGACCACCATGGAGAGGCACACGGGGAATGCTTATGAAGTTTGGAAGTTTTTTTTTTTTTTAATTTTCCAGAAGATGCATGTACTCACCAAAGAGGGAGACAAAGAGAGAAAGAAAGTGAGAAAGCATCCCCCCTCCTCATGTGGGATGGTCATGCAGCAATCCCTTCTCCATTTCCTCCTCCTTTTGTGATTTTGAGCATGCGCGCGCGCACACGCACGCGCACACACACACACACACACACACACGTCAAGCTGCTGGGTCTGGGACTCCACGCTGTTGGCCATGTGGAATCCAGCCGCTTTAACCATCACACCACTGGCTATGGCTGGAATTTTTAAAAGACTAGACACAACTTTAAAACACATTTTGACATTTATTAGAAACAAACCTACTGTAATACTCTCTACAAATCAACATTATATTAAACGGAAGGAGTTAGCCTTCTTTAATGTTTTAGAGCAGTTGTAGAGACAGTGACACGCTTACCTTTCCAGACATGTCTGTCTGGAATCACAGTTTTCCATGATGGAGGGCAGCGAATGGGCTTAGTATATGTTTCTGGAAGGTAAGAATGACTGGGAGGAGGTTCAAAGTCCAGGTGACCTTTGGTGAGAATGCAGGAATCAGATCAGGATAAAGGAAACTGAGGGAGAAGTGGGTGGGGCAACAGGGGTTTAAAGACTGCCTGGAATGAGACAGTTAAGATAATGCGGTTAAGATAATGCCTGCGTGGAAGTGAAAGACCCCTCCTCACTGACTTGAGACGGAGCCTGCAGGTAGAGTTGAAAAGATGAAGAAGTCCTTACTTCACACGGGGACCAGGTCCTGTAACTGACAGGAGAGCCCAGAGAGTCCGAACAAAATCTAGTTTCCGACCAGACTTGTCTCTGGCCACTGAGCATGCTCAGCTTTCCGTCTGCAGCAGAAATGTGAACTCAGTAACTCCAGATTTTAGTTATGACAGCTTGGGGGCGGGAGTCTTGTGGCGTCGTGGCCCAGGCCACAGGTGGAATGTGGAGTGGGAGTACACTTGAAGGGGAAGGTAAGGGAGAGAGGGAAGCAGCGCAGGGAATCAGAGGAGACCCGGGGAAAATCCATCCATGTGATCAGCCACCCTGGGTGAGGAAGCTCTGTTTACTCGAGAAAGGTATTGCGGGTGCAAACAGAGAAGAAGGGCAGGCGAGGGCTGTGGAGTCTGGGGCGAGGGAAGCGTCGTCATCACCCGCTAGTGAGCCTCCCGTCCTGCCCAGCGACTCCTCTCTGGGCAGCAGTCGCCTGTGTAAGGCGCACGGTGTTGCAGACACGCAGCAGCCAGCAGGATGCCCATCTGGCACCCTCCACCTTGCCCTCTTCCTCCGCCCTGACTCCGCACCAGCCGCGGGCAGTCGTCAGGGGCCAACATCTGGCCGAACTGAAACCAGCTCCAAAACTTACCTTTCCCGGCTCGTTTCTGCACTTGGGCTTCGGACTGGGGGCGAGCACATCTATGAGAACCTTGTGGGCGATATGGGAGGAGGATTTCCTTCTATGACGTGTACAAACGAGGATGGCCGCAGTTGTGCCCCTAGGTCACGAAGCCTGCAGGCGGTGCCAGGACCAGAGGGCACGGCGGACCGGGGGGCGTGGGTGCCGGGCGCGCGGTGCAGGGCCGGGGCGGCCCGCTGGCACCTGGGGCGGCTGTGGGCCCGGGCACGCCAGGGGCCGTAGGGCTTCAACCAGGGCAGCACAGACTTCCCACACTTCACACCGACTCTCGCGGCCCGCGGCGCCCCCGGCGCGCAAGGTACGCTTTGGGGCGGTCCTGGCTGACCCCGGAAGAGAAAGTTGTTTTGGGGAAGGGGACGAGGAGAGGTCGGCGCGTGGAGCAAAACTCCGAATCAAAGTTGCTCGGCTCCCCTCGGGCCGCCTCCCCGCCCCTCCTTTGTCCCAGACC